TAAGTCCCTGGGACTAGACAGCACAAAAATTGTTATGGATACAAGTAGAAAAAAAGATGAATCAATCGTGGACCCGATGACTCCACCCATTGTGCGATTATCGCGAGCTTCCGATACAGCTGATGGTCGATATTTATTGGCTAGACTAAGAGACCCTGCCATTCTTAAAGCTCTTAGGCTATTCCTGGCTTATCTCCATGACCAACCATCCACCGTGTGTTTTGATGGGCACACTAACACCAGCATCAAATTAATGTTAGCTTCGGAGGGACTTTCTAGTGACTTGGACTCATTGCGGAAGTTATATTTCCGTTTCCACAACGCGTATGGCATTGGTCTGGCTGAAGTTGACGCTGATCTCTCCGCCTTCAGGTCTTACTTCTCGTCCGAGAAACTTCTCCGGTTACAGAATATTAGGGAAAGTCAGAGCAAATATTTCTCTAGTGACTCTCCACGTAATAATAAATTTTTTTAGATAAGGTGACGCGACCAGAGGATCAAGCACCCTCTGTAAGGTTGGACGATGGCAAGCTTAGTGTATTTATTATTAATATTCAGTCCTTAAGACACAAAACAGATGAATTATTTCTTTTATTAGAAGAGCTTAATTTTCCAGAAATCATCGCCATTACTGAACACTGGTTAAATATGGATGAACCTGTATTTGTCAAAAATTACACCTCAATAGCTAGATTTAATCGAAGTAATTTATCTCACGGAGGCACTATGATAATGTCCACTAATAATGACTTTACGGCAATAACCAAGTTTGATAATTTATTATCGGAAAAAATATTTGAATTTTCCATCGTCTATCATAGTGGCTTTGACCTTTATATTGTTTGTTTATATCGATCACCGGACACAGACGCGCACATGTTTTGTCGGAATTTGCTGAGCTTGCTTGACTCCTTGCCCTTGAATTGCAAAATAATTTTATGTGGTGACTATAACATAAATTTTTCCTGTGTGTGCGCTGCTCAAGAATCTCTCCAGTCCATTTTCGACTCCTTTGGGATTGTGATGCATGTAAACTCTCCAACCAGAATAACCAAAACTAGTTCTACTACCATTGACTATGTCGCTTCATCTTTTGATCCAGAATTGGTCAACTGTTCTATTTTTAGTGCAGGATTTTCTGACCACGAAGCAGTATTAACGAATTTCTCATTGAATTCCTTACGTAAGGGTGCTTCCCGCAAATTGGGCAGAATATTTTCGGATGGAAATTTTTTAAATTTCAGTCAACTTTGCTTATCAGTTGACTGGGGCGTCCACTCAGATGATGTTGACTCCGAGTTCTCTAGATTCATAAATACCCTATCTGACCTGGCGACTAAATCCTTTCCTCTCAGACCCATCAAAGTCAAACGGCATAAATCATGGTCCACTAGTGGCTTGCGTACTTCTGGAAAAAATATGCGATTCTTGTCTCATCTAAAAAAATTCTCGGATAGCGTCTTCTTCAATGATTACGTCAAATTATACCGAAAAGGCTATCAGAAAACCATAAAAGCCGCCAAAGAAATTTATTATAATAGGAGGCTGGCAAACTTCAAAAATGTTGCAAAAGAAACATGGTCAATTGTTAATGACTTGAGGAATAAGGCTTCTTCATCTAGCAAAATTCCTACTTCACCTGAGATCCTTAACGATTACTTTGTTGATGTGGCTAAGAATTTAGTGAATACCTTAACTCCTTCCCAGGACCCACTTTCATATCTCCCGAATGCTAAGGTGAACTTACACAGTTTCTTCTTCACGCCTGTAGTAGTTCCAGAGCTTCGCAGTACAATCAAAGATATTAAAAACAAATCTTCATCTGGGACTGATGGACTCACCCTCAAAATGTTCTCTAATCTTCCTGATTGCACATTAATAGTATTATATTACATACCGAGTAGGGAAGTGTTTCATTACTGTCGAGAGATTTATAGTCTATTAATTTCGAGACATAAATGAAAACTTTTCTCCGAGGTTTGTATACTATTTTATTTGTAAGCACACCATTAATTAAAAATTAGTTATATCATTTTTTAATAATAAAAAAATAAAACAAACTTGCCAAAATGTGTCATTCACTGTTTTGACGTTTTTACCTGACATGTTCTCATTGTTGGCAGCAAAGGTAAATAAATTACAGTGAGGGAAATCGGTGAGGGAAGTTGAATAGGGAAATCGGTGAGGGAAATCGAAGAGGGAAGTGACACAGGTAAAGTGACACTTCCAAATTTTTAAAAAGTCAGTAATGTCAAGATTACATATATGATTGCAAATAATAGTATATTACATACCGAGTAGGGAAGTGTTTCATTACTGTCGAGAGATTTATATAGTCAATCGAGACGCGAAGTGTCGAAATTGACTATTAATCTCGAGACAGAAATGAAAACTTTCCTCCGAGGTTTGTATACTATTTTATTTGCAAGCACACAATTAATTATGAATAAATAAAAAAATAAAACAAACATGCCAAAATGTGCCATTCACTGCTTTGACGTTTTTACCTGACATGTTCTCATTGTTGCCAGCAAAGGTAAATAAATTAGAGTGAGGGAAATCGGTGAGGGAAGTCGAATAGGGAAATCGGTGAGGGAAATCGAAGAGGGAAGTGACACAGGTAAAGTGTCACTTCCAAATTTTTAAAAAGTCAGTAATGACAAGATTACATATATGATTGCAAATAAAACATCTTACTACTCTGATCAACAAGTCGTTTCTAAATGGAGCTTTTCCAAACTGTCTTAAGATGGCGATAATTATCCCACTGCATAAGGGAGGCGATAAAGAGCTACCTTCAAACTATCGCCCCATTGCACTCCTTCCTATGCTATCAAAGATCATAGAAAGATTGGTTAAAAAGAGGCTTCTATCATTTCTCTCTAAATATAATATTCTAACTACCAGTCAATTCGGTTTCCTAAGTAACAAATGTACTAATGATGCAATGTTTTCCCTTTTCAATAATGTATACTCCAGCCTGAACTGCCACCACTCTACAGCCTCAATTTTCTGTGATTTCTCCAAAGCTGTCGACTGTGTTAATCATAATATCTTAATTAACAAATTACAGTTCTACGGTTTCAGAGGAATGGCTCTCGAATGGTTTAAGTCTTATCTTGGTAACAGAAGTCAGCTTGTGAGGGTGGACTCGACCATGTCCTCTTGTAAACCAATTGAATGTGGTGTGCCTCAAGGTTCAGTTCTTGGCCCTATTTTGTTCCTGCTATTTATTAACGACATTGCTAGTCTGGATATTAGCGGCAAAGTTTGTCTCTTCGCAGACGATACTAGTTTCACTTGGAGCAACCCGGATATTACGGAACTCCATAGAACCGTATCTAGTGACTTAATCACCATCAAATCATGGTGTGACTCAAATCTCCTGTGCCTCAACCTCTCTAAAACCAAAGTTTTATCTTACAGAGCTTCGCTCAAATCTGTAGTACTGGATAACAATACCATGGAGGCCGTTGATTCCGTGAAATTCCTGGGGCTTGTTGTTGATAAATCTCTAAAGTGGGACCTGCATATCGACGCCTTAGCAAAGAAATTAAGTTCGGCCTGTTTTGCACTGAGATCTGTTTCCAGGGAGCTTAACTCGGCAACTTGCAGGATGGTATATTATGCTCTTTTTGAGTCGCATTTACGTTACGCCCTTCCATTCTGGGGCACGTGTTGTGCGTCTCAATTTGAACGCATTTTTAGACTGGAGAGCTCTTCGTTATTCTTTGGGACTTGGTAGTAGAATTCACTGCCGGGAATTTTTTATCAAGTCTAGTATATTGACTCTTCCATCTTTATTTATTTTCGAATCCGTCTGCTTAATTCGTAAGCACTTAATATCAGCTATCTCAGAGAGGCCATCTCACAATTATCCACTGAGGAACGCAGAGTTGGATCTTTATCTGCCAATCCCGCGCTCAGAGTTAGTTAAAAGTTCAATACTTTATAATGCTAAAAAGATGCATAATCATCTACCGCCTAACATCAGGTCCATTGCATCTTTTCTCGAATTTCGCAGGGCGTTGAAGGTGTATTTACTGAGGAGAGCCTTGTACACAGTAAGCGAGTTGTTTATGGTTTCCTAATTTTAAATTTTGAGCAGCTTACTCACAGGTTTTGTTTTTGTTCCTGTATCATGATAGGTTATTATAAGTTATTGTTTGTTTGTTTTTTTAGTACCTATAATATGCTTACTCGCACAGTATAAGCAGTTAGACCTAGATGTTTGTTTATTAGTTTTAATAAAATTTTGACCATGAACTATTTGTTCAAGTGTTTGGTTTTGTCTGTGCTTTTGCATTTGTATGTTTTGTTTTTTATTTTTTCAGCTTTGTCCACAAAATTGGAAAATTTTCTGACAATAAAGCAAATTCTTTCTTTCTTTCTTTCTTTTAAATCTTGTATCCGCTGACATAAAATAAACTTCTAGTAAATATGTTAAAAGACCAATAACATCCCAATAAGAGCTTGCTTTGATGCCAAGGTATTTTATGTTGAGAGTAATGTCGGTGAATGAGATAGTCGAACTACGGTGATCTCTCAAGTGACTCTCAGTCCAGTCCGTATGAAATTTTTACGTTGTAAGAACACATCCTGCTTCGTCCTTTATTAATACTAGAAGGTAGCTGATGCAAAAAAGGAAAAGTTTGTATCCTGCGAGAGAGATGCCGATATTAAAGATAATTGGAGGATGTTTAACATCCACTGAGCAGATGTGCTATAATAATGCAGATCGCTTTTGGTATATGTAAAACAGGTGAATTATTTGTTGAGGCAGTCGAGTCGGCGTTTTCTCAAGGTTGGGGCGTGAAAGGAATAGTTTGGACGCAAATAAATACCATCTATCATTCTGCTGAGCCAAGCACAATAAAAATTAGTTAAGCGTCCTCAAAAAAGACATTTGAATGAAACTTCACGAGCATCGCCTAAAACAATTATTTCTTTTTAAACCAATATTATTAACCTTGTGATTAGATTACTTTTTATCGATCTATGGAGCACTTGAGACCAACTATTTAAAACAATTAATCAGATGCAATATAGCTTCATCACCGATAGATCTTTAAGATGAGATATATATTCGGATTCGGGATAGTTTTTGTTGTGTATTTCACAAAATCAGTAGTGAGTAAAGAAATCTTATAATATAAATAACAAAATAATTATTGGTATATTCTAGTTGTCTGCACCAGTAGCTGATGATAATTTGATAATAACGTTGCCCAACGGCAAAATCCAAGGGGCAGCTTATAAGACCCTCAATCACAACAAAACTTATTACGGATTTCGTGGAATTCCATATGGCAAACCTCCGTTGGGTGACTTGAGATTAGAGGTAGTTTTTCATCTTTGAATCATTGAATAATTTTGAAAGTTTTAATTTTTATTCTATATTTCTATTACAAGTCACCACAACCAGCTGAGTCATGGAACGGTATATTGAATGCCACTGTCGATAGCAAAAGCTGCATAACGATAAACTATTTATCCGAGCCAAATCAGGAAAGTGAAGATTGCCTGTATATAAATGTATACATACCAACACTTCAAGTAGGATCAATTTTTTTTTAAATTTCTGGATCAACTTCAAGTGATTTTTTTAGCCCTCAGAAAAACTTCCAGTTATGTTTTGGATATATGGCGGAGCCTTTCTAGCCGGTAGTTCCGACAAAAATCTTTACGGTCCGGACTTTTTAATGGAAAAAGATGTCATAATGGTCTCATTTAATTATCGTCTTGGAGCCTTGGGCTTTGTATCTACCGGAGATAGAGTACTTCCTGGAAACTTGGGCTTGAAAGATCAAAATCTTGCTTTACGATGGACGCGTGACAATATTGAAAATTTTGGAGGGGATCCAGAAAAGGTTACGATATTTGGCCAAAGTGCGGGCGGTGCATCAACTGGCTTGCATTTAGTCAGCAAAAAATCTTCAGGTAAAATTTTTGTCATACATAAACGCGCAGCACTCTCAATTATATAAAATTTCAGGATTATTTAGAGCAGCAATCGTTGAAAGTGGCTGCGCTCTAAATCCTTGGGCTATAGATAGTAACCCCAAAAAGACTGCTTATCTATTCGCTGATAGAATTCCTAATGGTAATTACGGGAATGACACTCAAGCCCTTAAAGATTTCCTTAAAATTCAAACTGTTGAAGACATTGTAATTGCAAATACTAAACTAGAAGTAAGATTTTTGAAATTTAAAACAATGACCTTCAGAAATCGTCGTTTCAGGTTTTATTCGGGCCAACATTGGAAATTGACAGCGAAGATGCTTTCATAACAGACTCACCATTTGTGTTACTTGAAAATGGAGATTTTAATCAAGTTCCAATTGTAATAGGTGTTACTTCTGAAGAATCATTGTCTTTCTTAGGAGGTACATAAATTTTCCATTTTTTGCGGCTTTGGTTCATTGGTAATAGCAAAAATGAGTTTTACCTTTTTTTTTTGTTCAAGATGAATCTCAGACCTTCAATGTCGGCCTCACATATGACCTCAATCCAACATCTTTGATTCCACTAGACCTTTTTTCGAATACAAGTAGTATCACCACAGTTACTCACAGAATAAAAGAGATATATCTGAATCGTAATGAATTATTTGCAATGAACTTAGCAGCAGTAGCTGAGGTAAGTACTTACAATGCCATAATGTCAATCAAAGATTATGTCAATATAGGAAAAAATCTGCCATTGACAAGAAATGTCAGCATTTTTGACCGGTTGACAGGTCGCATAAACTCGATATTCGGGGATAATACCACAAGAGCTTCAAAATTATCTGGTTCATTTTAAAGCTCAAGTGGTATTTAGAGGATTATTTCACGTATGAGAATGCAAAAAATATGGAAATAAATATGTATTAAACGATTTGAACATCTTAACAATCAATACAAATAAATGGTTGCTATCAGGAACCGTTTGTTTGTATCAAAAATTAGCATGACGACCATGTATACAATAACATGGGAGAATTATCGCTGTAATTCTCTCTAGTTAAACAAATGGAAAAGAGAATTTTCGCTGTAATTCTGAAAATCGTCACTTGTCTTATGGGATTTCTAACACATGAGTGGAATAATCTGCGTAATTTGGTATTTTCAATGGTTGCTAATAGATCAATGGATTTTTAGGAACAACACAACATACATTTTTGAAGTATCTTTGTATGTATAACACGAAATTAGATATTAAACATTAATTTAACTAATAAAGTATCTAATGAAAATACCATTTCTCATTTTTCTAATTACTGAGCGATTGCAGAAAAAGTAGTATGTGTATTTCGAAGGAAATTTCCCTTGTGCAAATTACACTGGAAATTTTGCATACAAATTGTCAAAATTAATAAGTGGAAATTTTTGGAAATATCCCGTGGAAAATTTCCAGAATTGTCATTTTTGACATTGATGCCCGTTTTTTCCATTTAAAACGCATTGATGTCAGAAATCTGTCAAAGTGTATATTTTTGACAAAAGCAGTTTATATGGAAAAGATCAATAGCAATCAGCATCAATAAAAGAATTCGACACAATGTAGTAAATAAGTTTCAAACTCGGGAAATTTCCTATCAAAATATAATACGTGCATACAATATTTCCTAAGGGAAATTTTAAAAAATTTCGTCTTTAGCCAATTTTTTTAAACAAAACCATTCGTGCATAGCGCCAAAGAAAAATCCCTCACCCTTCGGGTTCGGGATTTTTTCAGGCGCTATGCACTCATGATTTTGTTAAAAAATTGGCTTCAGACAAAATTTTCAAAAATTTCCGGAAATATTTTATGCACTAGTTATATTACTACTGGAAATCTCATTCTTGAACTTCGATGTATAGGTAATGTGTCACTTTTCCACCTAAATACACAATGTAATATTCCGATGTTCGTATGCTTTCCAGGTTTACACTGACAACTTCTTTAGAAGGTCAAGCCTGAAACACGCGGAGCTAGCATCCAGTTTTGTCCCAGTCTATTTCTATGAGTTTTCTTATTATGGAAGAACTTCAACTATACCATTTATTGATGGTAAGGGGATGAATGCGTAGGTACCTGCCTACCTTTTTTGTTTCAAATTTGTTTCCGTATTTCCTTAGGAGTTGAAAAGGCTACTCACTCTGCTGAAATTCCCTTCCTATTCAATCACCTAGGGATGAGTGGTACTACGAATACAAACGATTTGTTAACTCAAGATCGAACCGTTACGTTTTGGACTAATTTTGCCAAATATCTGTAAGTAATTGTACCTATTTAATGTACCGCAGAGTAATTTAATTTTTTTACTCAGGAATCCTACCCCAACGAAATCTGAACTGTTTACTGACATATTATGGCCCAAATTGCACAGAAAAACTTTGTTATACTTAAATATAAATAACACGTTACAAATAAGGGGACATCTCAAAAGAAGCTCTTATTCGAATTGGAACGATATTTTTGAAACTTACGGTAGAAAACCATATGTAACATATTAGACATTAGACAAGTTTATAAATATATAATTGAAATCCTTTAAGTGAAAAAACTATCACTAAGTACAACTAAATTGTTTTACAAATTTTTAATAATTTGTATATCAATTATTAAAAAACGTTATTTTTCAAATTTCGTTTCCTTCCAACTTTCCTATGCTTAAAAATCCAAAGAGCATGTGCGGTTTTCTTCCTCGCGAGTAAACGTATAGTATACAGGGTGCTACAAATTGGAGTGTATGCATGGGTATATCGGAAACCGTAAGAGATACGAGGTTTGTTAAATTATGGCAAAGTTGCGCAATTTTATGACCAATAAAATTCCGTTTTGAAATTTGAACAATTCCGAATACTTCCGAAAATATTCGGAAAAAAACGAAATTTTGTAAAATCATTTTTATTTATTCCTGAGTCTATTTGAAGAGCAATTTCAAAATAAATGTCACTTCATCATTGTCACTTTTTTTCCCTTACAAGATGTTGCTACCAAATTTCAGATTCGACGTTTCGTCTTTGGGCGGCCATCATCAACTTCGTTTTTCTAAATACGGGCCTGGATTTTTTATTTCAGATTTTAAGAGTTTCTGATGTCCCAAACCCAATGAGATATTGCACTTATTCGAAAAATTTATATTATTGGCACTTTCCATGAGAACTTAATGTGTTAGAGAGAGACAGAGAAGAGAGTTTTGGTAGGAAATTGCTAAAAAGTAATAAAAATAATTTTTCGAATAAATGCGAGAAGCTCTAAAAATCTGAAATAAAAAATCCAGACCCGTATTTAGAAAAACGAAGTTGATGATGGCCGCCCCAAAGACGAAACGTCGAATCTGAAATTCGGTAGCAACATCTTGTAAAGGGAAATAAGTGACAATGATGAAGTGACATTTATTTTGAAATTGCTCTTCAAATAGACTCAGAAAAAAATAAAAATGATTTTGCAAAATTTCGGTTTTTTCCAAATATCTTCGGAGGTATTCGGAATTTTTCAAATTTCAAAACGGAATTTTATTGGTTATAAAATTGCGCAACTTTGCCATAATTTAACCAACCTCGTATCTCTTATGGCTCCGATATCCCCATGCATGCACTCCAATTTGTAGCACCCTGTATAGTATAGTATATAGTATAGGGGTATTACGGCTATTTGCACCGCTATAACTTAAGGGCTATTTAATCCAAGTGGAGCTTTGAATGTGACTTTCGTAGAAACAAAAGTTACATTCAAAAGCTCCACTTAAATTAAATATCCTTTAATATCCCTTAAGTGATAGCGGTGCAAATGGCCATTAGTCGAATTATCTTGCATATTGTGATAAAAGCATGAAATTTGGTACAGATGATTTTTTCACAATTATAAATGTCGATAAGAGGTGTCAAGTGGGTCAACACCCTATTTGGTCCCATAGGGGCAAGATGGTGACCATTTGCAAAATGGCGGTTACCAAGAGAAATTGGTAATTGTGGATCGATTTTAGCAAAATTGGGGTCGTTTTCGAATAATTTCAGTTCAGAAAATGTAAGAAAATATATAATTTAAGTGATTAAAAGTCATTTTGATTTTCAAAAAAAAACGAAATTTGAATAATATAAACGGATTTCAAATTTTGATGACCTCTGTTTAGAAATGTTATCAACAGAATTTATTTTTACACATACCTAAATTACTACCTATAATGTACCGAGTGATCGGCGGCGGGAAGAAGGTTGGGGTGCAAGGGAGTAGGGGTGCAGGAAGGATGTGGAATTTAGCGAACTAAAAATAATTTATAAATTAATTGAATTTTTTTTTTCAAATGAAGTATCATTTTCTGTCATTTTAACAATAACGTTAAATTATCTGTCACTGTCTATTCTGCGCGTAAAAATAGAGACAGGTATAGATTTTGAGCTATAACACAGCTGTTAAAATAACAGGAGATGATACATCATATAGGCCTGATTGTATGCATTCTCACTGTAGAGTTCAACAAAGCATAGCTTGTCTACATGAACACCACCTTGTACCACAACCTGATTTGCAACCACACCTTCCTAGTTCTCTACAGGCATTGAGGCATTCAATATATTTTGCAAAGTAAACCACAATGGTTGCCAAATTCCTCTTGCATATACCCATCCACAATCACTAAGTTCGGTCAAGGAAATAGCCGAGTCAATTTAGGGGGTCAGGGTGCAACAAATTAGCAACAAGCTGATTCCAGCGGGAATGTTTAGTAAGTGACCTCTTTTTTAACCTCCCAAAAGTCCCATTCAGTCCTAGGGGCCGCCATCTTGGATATTTTCGTGTTTTTCAAATATCTCAGTTTCTATTGGTTTTTTCAAGAAAACTCAAGAAACCTTTTTTGTGGAGAATTTAATTCTCTATAAAAAGTGTTTTATACCTTTTTTTTTGTAACATAAAGGATAACGGAGATACAGAGCTTTTTATAGTAAATATTTCAAACATTTCTTTACTTTTATCTCTTTCGAATGAAATATCAATTCTTTATAAATGAACAATCGTATAATATGAAAATGATGAAGCTTATAATAATAATGTACATAATATGTAATGAATAATCTTAAACTATAATAAACTTCAAAAAGTTCCCGTGTGACGTCATGCAAACCATCATCCTCCTCCTCATCTGCCACGAAACAACAGTTTGAACAACTGATTTCGTAACACTGCCCACACTTGAAAGAACACTTAAGTCCGACTTTTCTACATGAACAGTTTTTGGAGCAATTACAAAAAATCAATTTTAGTACATCAGGGGGAACTACAGCTTCCTTACATTGTACAGGTATCAGGTTACCTTGCTTATTTTTTTCCACCCGTATTGCAGAGGGTCCAAGTCGTTACCAATCCATTCTTGAATCTGAAAAATAGAACATACTTTCTAAAACATGTCATTTTTATAGTTCATGGGTAATACCTGAAAGTATGTCCTAAGAATATATGTTGTTGTGCAGAGTCTTCGATTGGGGGCAAAGTGGCCAAATTAAATGTCGACTTGAGTCCTTGCCTTGATGCTGTCCTATTGTATAAAGTATACCTCAACCTTTCAAATATGTCGACTTCAAAACCAAAAAGAGTACCCCAGGTGGGTACACTGAAAAAAAAAGGTACACAAATATAACGAAAAAGTGCATTGAGCCAGTGAATCTCGTCATTAATATTGAGCCGGTGAACGAATTTGTTAATATTATGAAAAGCTGTTCGTTAAATAGATGAAAAAAAGGTTCATTGATTTAACGGTTGAATTCATTGTCGCAAAGTAAGGATTCTATCATTTTGACGTATAGAATTCGTTGCCTGAGTGAAATAAAATCTTCAATATAATGTACAAATAACATTGGTTTATGAATCGAATTTTCAATTTAATGTATGCGGTTTCATTGGCTTAACGTATGAATACATTATCCTAGGCTCAGTTGCATGAACAAGAATATTCATATTATGGGTTCTCTGATCTCTCGCTCTTTCCTGCATTTCCTCTTTTCGGTCTCGTGTCTGCGTCGCTGTTCTTCAAAAGTTTGTGGTCCATCGATCGTGGACTACTCGACTCCGCGAGGGCCTATTATTTGTCCTGGTCTGTTGCTGATATCGATGTGGCACTTTGCCAAAATTTCCTTTAGAACATCTTTGTAGCGTTTTTGTTGACCTCCTTGATTCCGTTTTCCATCTTTCAGCTGACTGAGAATATGTTGGGGAAGACGTGTTTCGGGCATGCGAACGAGGTGACCTATCAAGCGAAGTTAGTGCTTGATGATAAGGGCTTCCAAGTTAGTTGGGTTGGCCTCCTCTAAAACACTAATGTTCGTTCGTCGATCTGGCCATTTAATCCGTAGGATCCTTCTTAGGCATCGCTGGTGGTATTTTTTTAGGCTTTTTATGTGTTTTCTGTAGGTGGTCCATGTTTCGCAGTTATTTATGTAAGTGTTGGTATTACAACTGTATTGTAGACACGAAGTTTGATCTCAGCGCTGATGTCGTGATTGTTGCAAACTCTGTCTAGAAGTTGCCGCGCTTGCACACTTCAAGCAATGTTGGATTTCAGCGTCAATGGTTGCCTGCGCTAACAGATGGCTTCCGGGTAGTGTCCCACGTTCTGCAATGTTTCCGTACACTATAAATGAAGAAGTTATTCCACTCAATGAATACCTGAATTCCGAATTTATTACAAAAAGAGTTGAATTTAACACCAACACAAAATATTATTTCCAGATAATGTACGATATACTGTCGATACTATGGAGTTTGGGTGTGTTTAATGAATTCTATACGTTAGCATGACGAATAAGTATATATTAAAACTATTAAATTCATTAAATTGATTAGTAAAGTTCGTTAGTTATAAACGTTCAATAAATCACTAACACATTCGTCAAGCTGATCAAACATATTCATTAATTAATGAATTCTTGGTGGATGGATTCAATGCATAACTTCATTGACACAATGAAGAAAGTTTCATAAGCATCATGAACACACTTTTTGGGATAAGAATTATTTATTAATACAATGAATGTGGTTTATGAATGATTATTCATAAAATCAAGGAATAGAATCACTGATCTTCAAAGAAAGTTCCTTATACTGATGAAAGTGTTCGTTCGAACAATGAAAAATAAAAATTCACGGGTTTTATGATAATAATGAACATAAATTCGTTACATTAAGGAACGAAGTCATTAGGCTATGAACACTGATTAATTGGATTGATGAAATATTTCATTTAATTAATGAAAAAAAAATAACAACCGCCATTCGTCAATATTATGAACGATTTTTTTTCAGTGTAGAAGTATCTCCATCTGGATTCCGGGCATACTATGCTCTACAGGGGGAAGGATGATGGAATATTAATAAATAAAAAACTATCGACAAACTTGAATATCCTGAAAACAATATCTGACAGAGTAATATATGTCGTAATCAATATAAATAAAAATATAACGCTAAAATATATACAAGCTTATATTCCAACTTCCTCACATGAAGATGACGAGGTGGAAACGGTATACGAAGACATAGCGAGAGCAATAAGAGAGAACCCAACGACGCACACTATTCTAGGAGGAGACTTTAATGCAAAAATAGACAGAGGAGCA